CACACATACCATTTACATACATGTACATATATCATTCATATATACACACACAAACCAACATCTAATTTACTGAACATAATTGCTAAATCTTGCCTAAAAATTTTAACATGAATCATTAAATCAGGACTCATCTATATATATGAAGTCCTAGAATATTTATTTGTAATTTTTTTTATTAATTTAACTATGAGGAATTTATCATAAGGAGATAATCACTTATGGTTGATAAAAATTCAAGTATAAGAATGTTATCACAGCACTGTTTAATGGCAGTAAGAAACTGGACAATACTTGGGAGGCAGAGGCAGGAGGATTGTGAATTTGAAGCTACACAGTGAGACGCTTTTGAAAGAAACGAAGGAGGGAACAGAGGGAGGGAGGGAGGAAATGGAAATAATTCAGTCAAGAGCACTGGCTACTCTTTGCAGAGGACCTGGGTTTGGTTTCCAGGACCCACATGGCAGCTAACAACCATCTGTAACTCTAGTTCCAGGGGATCTGATGCCCTTTTCTGGCCTCCGTGGGCACTGCACAACATGGGTGCCCTTACATACATGCAGGCAATATATTCATACACATAAAATAAAGATAAAAGTTTGGCATGCCTAAATTATGGAATCCCACTAAAGATTATGCTATGGGGAGTTATTGTTTTGTGAAGAAATAGGCTTTTGAAATAGAGCAATAGTCACAGAAAAAAATACTGGATCATCAATATACTAACAGTAATTATGTGATTAGTTTTTCCTTGATGCTTTTATAGACTTTCTTTAAAAACCATTTTTATTTTTACAGCCAAAGATTTTAACCAGAATTTTTTAGACTATTTATTGAAATGGGACAATGGTTGTAAAATAAAAGTAGTAATTTAAAAACAGCATATTCTTTTCTCCATATTAAAATTACAGTACCTCTTTGAGACGATAAAATGAGAAAAAAATTATATAAAATGTAATAGTGCTGGGCGTGGTGGGGCACATCTTTAATCCCAGCACTTGGGAGGCAGAGGCAGGTGGATCTTTGTGAGTTCGAGGCCAGACTGGTCTACATAGTGAGTTCCAGGATAGCTGGGGCTACAAGGACACCCTGTCTCAAAAAGACCAAAAAGAAAAAAAAAAAAAAAAAAGTAATAGTGATTAGCTATGGGTAGGTGGGATTATTTACTTTTATATACTTCTCTTTTCAAAAACGTCTATAACGAACATATTCTGCTTCATAATTAAAATAAACACATGCAGTTCATTTTCCCAGTTCTATGCAGGGTTACTACCTGGGAGTCCCTTTGGCTGCCCTGGCCAGCAACTCAAAAGAAGGTATCTCCTATCTGGCATGGTTGCTTGTTATGTAGCCTTTAGCTATGCATATTAACTCTTAAGAAATTATATTGGCCCCTTTAATCTTTGGTTATACTTTCCTTTGGAGTGTTTAAGGCCATACAGTAGGCCCAGATAAACCAATTTATTTTTACTCTTAAGGTCGTTTGAGGATCTGGGTCCTCAGGGGTCACATGGGCTTGGGAGGAGCCCCTGGCTCCTTTCTTTTACCAGTTCCACCTATCTGAAGATAAGTCAAAGGTCCTGCTCGGGTATGGTTGGCTTTGCTTGGAAGCATGGAGAAAATGATTCCTCTGTGTTGACCCTCCTCTTTATAGACTGGACACTGGTTCAAGTCCATCTGGTGGGGTCTCCTC